TCCCCCCCCCAAAAAAAAAAACAGCTCAGACCTTAATCTATGGCCCTAAGGCTTGGCAAAAGCCTTGGAGACCTTGTCTGCGCAGGAGCTTTCTGCGGCGTTGAGGTAAGCCCCTTTTCCCCTTGGCGGGGTCCTGGGTTCTTGACAGAAGTAGGGGTTGGGGTTTCGGGTCTAGGTTTTTTTTGGGGGCCCTGTTGAGTTATGTTGAGTTTGGGTTGCTGGGGATCGTAGTTTATACGGTTTAGGTCACGGGGTTTGGAGGCGGGTTTTGGGCTTCATGATTTAGGGGTTTTGTTTGGGTTTTAGGGTTTGGGTCTTGAAATCAAGGTTTGGGTCGTTTTGCGGAGCGTGTAGATATCCGATACCTACACCCTAAACCCTAAACCCTATCGACTGTAGAGATCTTCTCGGGGGCCTTGACTGTTGCAAGCCAATTCTTATTAGGGAGCAGGAATGTAGCAGTGTAGCTTGAGTTGGCATCCAGGTTTAGGGTTAAGGGTTGATAAACAGATGGCACACAATTGCCAGAGAGGGGAACTCGGCAGAAGATGGACCCCAAATACACAACCCTAAACCTAAAGCCGAAAGCATGGATGCATACAGCACCAACTCACACGGGCATTTGTTGCTGTTGTCTTCCCGGTCGGGTGTTTTTACGGGGTGTCTTCTTCAAGCAGCTCACCCAAAAGTATGCTTGCCTGTGACCACGAAGACAGGAGGGCGGCTACGGGCGAGATCCCCCAATATCCTACAGCACCCATTTTTATGAACCTGGCCGCTAGCCCCTTTGTGGTAAATTTGAGGAGATTGGGATTTTGGGAGAATGAGAGCTCAGGGCTCTCAGGATTTCTGGCGTTCAGCCAGAAAGTTTTTGCGTCTGAGCTGCGATGTCTTTTGAGCGCTTTGAAGAAAGGCCCCCAAGGTATGCCAAGAACATCAAACTCTCCACATAAGAATTCATGCTCCTGGCAGTTGCAACCATAAACCCTAATCCGTGCATCGTGAAACCCTTGAAGCCCTCAATGCTATACCGTGAGTTCTGCGCCTACCCTCAGTACTCCACTTTATGCCAATGCCCAACCCGTACCCTCAAAGCCGCACACCCTAAACTAGACCCCTAAACACAAAACCCCAAAACCCCTAAACCCTAAACCCCAACCCGAACAGCTCATGCTTCTCTCTGAATTTTCATGGTCTTGTCAGGCCTCTTACCGCCCAGAGTGTGAAGGCTTCTGGAGGCAACAGGGTCTAGGAAGTCTAGGGTTTAGGGTTCAGAGTTGGGGTTTAGGGTCTAGGGTTTAGGTTTTAGGGTTCAGGATTTAGGATTTAGAGTTTTAGGTTTAGGGTTCAGGGTTGGGCTTTAGGGTTGAGGGATAAGATTGGAGGGGTTCTGGGGGCTAAGGCCTGCAGGGTTGATAGGGCTTGGGGTTGATATAGTCTAAACCCTAAACCCGATTTATCAATTTGTAGTGGCCAAAGGCTCCGGGTTGGGTGTAAACCTTCTCAATTGAAAAACAAAATCCGTCACAATACTATGATTCTTGCTGTTAGTATTGCTGTATTACTATGAGGATGCTTCCTCTCGCAAGTATGATTCTGAATCATTTAAGATTTTTATCGACACAGAAAATCTCGCGGGAGAACCTCCACCAAGTTGTGAAGTTTTCTAAGGGCCCCACTCGCTCAGAGCGGAAGCTTCGTGAGTGAGACGTGTCGCAGGATGCCCTGAATGACTTGGACGCTGCAATCAACGCATTCATACCCTTACCTTCCCCTAAACCCTAAACCAGCAAAGCGAGTTCTAAATCAATTAGACTGAGCCTTTGCGCTCCCCTTCGCACATCAACTCACCATACGCTCAGCGGCCAATCTTTACTCCTCCCGCCTTGTTAGCAATCCTAAGACTTTTGAAGCCCCTCCATCACAGATGCTCTCAACTTCGAAGTGCGCAAGTCCTCGACACTAGGAATCCTACACCCCCTTTCATTATACTGTACTTTTAATCCTTCCAACCAAACAGCCCAGCCTCAAAACTGAAATCCTACGTTAGAGTAATATAGGATTATGTTGGGTTATATGGGGATAATGGAAAAGAATGGAAACCAACCAAAAACTCAAGCTCCTATTCCGTAGACCCTGAAAACCCATTAGCTCCTACAATCCTTTCGAACCCTTGGCCCAGAGCGAGCGACGTTCTCAGCCGCAGCCACTCGGGCGATGCCACTTTTGCGGAGTTCTCGGCAGGCTTCCTCGAAGAGTCCTTGCAAAGGGCAATATTTGTGGCTTCATGTGAGCTACAGTCTAAACTCCAAGTATCCTCCTAATGACCCCTATATACTCCTCTACAGAATCCCCCATACAACCCCCCTTCAGGAGTTTAGATTATCAGGACTCTCTTCGGCTTTGGCAGCACCCACCCCGCAACTAGATCGATCCAACATAGGAAAATCCCTGTCACAGTTCTACACCGCGGTCTCAACAACTATCTAAGTGACATACAGCCACAGTGGCAAGGTCACCCTTTCAAGAATCGGCCGGGGCAGCATCATCCCTAATCATCACCGCTGCCTCAATGGTTATTGGCAGAGCGAAGCACATAGACGTTCCCATGGGATGCCGTAGTGGCAAGTGTTTCCCCCAAAGTCGTTCTGTTGCTATGATGCAGCTGTTTGTGAACATCAGCTCACTGAAGCCATTGTCTGGTCTGATGCACAAATCGAGATGAGAACATTCAACCACCAAAGGAAATCCCTAAGAACGTTCTGATCCCTATATACTA